GGAGGAGGAGGAGGAGGAGGCGGCGGCGGCTGTCTTAACAGCAACTCTGTAAGTGAAACTGAGTGACTGAGATTATGGGGTATAGAAAAAGGAAGAGAAAGGGTCCCAGGTTAACTGGAGCATCTGAGCGGAATATATCACTGAGGAGAAAAAAATAAAAAGAGGAGCAAAGGTGGGGGTGAGGCAGGGCTGTGTCTCAGGCACACACAGGCGATGCCCTGGCAGCAGGTGGAGACAGAGCCTGAGCTCAGGACAAGCTGGGCTGAAGGCTACTGATTGGCATTGTTAGCTGACTGCATAATGCAAGGCACAGGAGAAACAGGGCAAGTAGTAGAGATTTGCACTCACTAAGAAAATTGATATGATGGATGTTTAAATTAGAAAAAAATGTCATTATAGTAAAAGACACATTGCTAACAATAAAGAGATCAATGTGTTAAAAGTGAAGGATATTTTGAGGCAGATTAACGGCAATATGTCTTACTGTAATACATTTAATTTAAACATTCACTGTAGTTTTTGTTCACACCTTGAATAACAATGCCACCTCCACAAATAAAACTGGTTTTCTAAACCGTCAGCATACCTGATCTTGCAGCAGGGTGCCTCCGAATGCCCAGATACAGGCAAAAACAAAATAGACTTCATAAACTTCTTTTGGGCTATCAGAAGGCACATTTTCAGGAGTCAACAAACAGTCCAAAAGGGCACAAACAGTCTGAAGAGAAATAAACAGCAATTCATCTAGTGCAGTGGTAGTGTAGTAGTCAAACAGTTTCAAAGGACTTTACAATGCCATTTTATCCTTAAGGGATTTTATGATTTTCAAAATTCTAATTGCTATGTTGGGAAACACAAAAATTACTGCATCATGTGTCTAAGTCAAAAGTGGAGTATTTTTTGTCACTTTTCACTCACTTGATTTTCTAAGTAATAAACTATTAAAAAACAAAATTGAAACGATTCGATTAACAACTAGTGGATAAACCAGAAATGTAAGCAATAAATATGTAAAAATAAAAGAATATATATTTATGTTCACTCTTGTAAAGCTGGTAATCATACTAACACGGCATTCTATAATCTACTTTCCCACTTAATATACTGAAGGTGTCTTTCCTTATCCTTACCATCGGGAATGCCTTCCTAAGATTGTGCGGGATGGACAGGCATCCACTGAACTACTTCCCTCCCTGTGGACACCAGGTAACCTACTTTGCTTAGCTCCTTGGCAGTCACTTTTTCCACCTGTTGTCATAAATGTAGAAAGTTGGACTTAACAGGGAGCACTTTTTGGGCACAAGATTAAATTTAACCTTGGAAGAAATACTAATCAGGAATTTGCTCTTCATACCCTCCAGGTGAAGCAGGAACATTTTCTGCTGGTCCTAAGCATTCCCAAATTTAGGGCAAGCGAGTCAGTTCTGAGGGGAACATGGCTGCAGGAGGGGCCCTTACCGTATGGAATAATAACAATCATGAACACCTTTTGGGGTTAGTTCCCTAATGCACAAAGATAGCTGTCATTAATTAGCGCTGTCACAGACCCTAGACTCAAGACACTCTTGCTCCAGTTTTTGGAGGCAGCAACAGAATTTTATTATGATCAAATGGACAGTAATGCAAACACGCTATAGTGTGTGTGCCTTTCTTTTCCAGCCAAAGAAGATGGGACAAATTTTCCATGTAAATAGCTGAGCACTTGTATTTTAAAATCTCTTTTGGCTTCTCTCTTGCACTGTGCCATGTTTGCCAATTAGGAGTAATGTTTTAACAAAACCTAGCAATTTTTCATCAAAAAAAAAATACAGCAAAACCTGAAAGCTTTGCTATTTCTAAGTAGAAACATGCTGGTTACAATCAAAACAAAAAAGACTAAAGGGTCTCAATGTGATTTTATCAGGTGAACACTCCCTCTACTACGTCTTAAGATTCTTTCATTTTTTTCACAAACACAGTGCTGGAAAACATTTCGAGCTCTGTGTCGGCAATTAATATAAATTTTATTTATATTTTAATGCATACTCCAAAAGAGTAGTTATACTTTACTGAATGTAAAGAAGTTTTATATACTTGGAAATATATGCATTCATTTTTTCAAGCTAGCCATTTTAAATTAGCCTCCTTTCCATTCATTTTTATGTCAAATTCCTATAAGCAATCACAGAAAACAGACTATAAAACAACAGCCTACAAGAAACTAAGGATTAAATGCCATTTCTGAAAACTACAAAAGGAAGAAGCAAGAGCAAAAGTCATATTAATTCTTACTGACCTATTTTCACACCACTCTTGAATGAAAAAGTTCACACCACAGAGAATCACACAAATACACAAGTCAACTTGAGAAAGAACACGATTATGCTTTTTGCAAGTATTACACCAGAGGAAGTCTAATTAGGCTAACCACATAATTAATTCATTATGAATAAATTCAGACCTGCTTTCAGAAATAAATTATACCTCAGATAATTACTGTTGAATACTATCGTTTACTTAATTGGTGTGTGAATTATCCAAAAACCTGAACTTTCCCTTCTTATTATGCTTGCCACTATTCCTAATTTAGCTTCAAACAAATTTGGTAACATAGTAACTTAATGGTAACAAAGTACTTAGAAACCAATTTTGCTCCTACAGGAATTAAAAAAAGGCCTGAAATTGTAAACCTGTTGTGAATTTGATACATGTACAGGCTGGGGACAGTTTTTCTTCATGCTGAGATTAGGAACACAACCTTCATTTCTGGGTATCGTGAATTATTTTCATTTGCTTCCATGACAACAAATCATATAGTCCCTTTACTCTTACCAGCTGTCTCACAATAAGGATCAGGAAAAAAAAAAATCTCTGGAATACTATGAGCTCTTTATGCCCACTGACACACTTTCAGGAATAATTCTGGGAGGGGAAGTCTGTGGGTGGTGACATCTGTGGGGAAGAATTCAGACACTTCCTCTTACCACCTGGTTGGCATCTTTAACTGCACAAATTCATTTTATTCAAAAACATACCAGTACCTCCTCTGGGCAACCTAGATAGGCTCTAGGAAAACGTGTAAGGCTGTTCCAACTTTGTTCTTCTAATTCTGTTCTAATACACTTGGGAGGAACTTGATTCGATAAATATGTATTTGGCACCTGCTATAGGCTCAGAACTGTGTAAATTTCTGGGAATAGAAAAGGAATAAATCATGGCTTTGGCTCTACAGTTCAGAGCCTCAGAGAAAGAGACTGTGAGTTGAAGTGACAACACAGAGTGACAGTGCTTGTCAGGAGCTTGCAAAAAGCTCCAGGGAAGCCCCGGGGGCTGGGACAGGACGGGTGGAGCATCCCAGCAATTCCAGGATGCTTTCTGTCTTCTTGAGCAAGCAGAGACTTTTGTTTTGGTGAAACTCCAACAGGCTCCAATTAGAATGTCGCATGGCTTATCTGAAGACAAACCTGTACCAGGCTGTTTTCTGGAATAGGGGTGATGGTTTTAAAGCTGGTTCTCAGCTTATCCAAACATGCAGGAATGTATTTATCAAAAAGAACAGTCAAATTGGCCTTTTCGGATTGATGCTGCCTTCTGTCTATCCAACTGGCCACATACCTGAAGAAGAACACAGAAAAGCTTTTACTGAACATGAAGCTTGAAAAGTAGAATTTCACCATGTCCAAAGCTCTCTCTTAAACACAGCTTGGTGCAATTCTTCCTGGACATATTTAGTTCATTCACTCCATTTCTCAAACCGCAAGTTTCTTTAAATGGCTCTTTAAAAAACTTGTTTTAATGGCCATTTTCACCTTAATAAAAAGAATGTAAAAGAAACTCCTAATAGCACTTAGAAGCCAAACATAATAGAGTATAAGTAGGCTATTACTGAGCATTTAGAAGGAAGTACAGTATGTCATTTCCTAAGGGACAGAAACTATTTTTATGGTGGAAGGCTTATTTATGAAAACAGCTTGTTATCTTTCTTGATTAATCTTGGCATCAACTATTTAATAATGAGAAATCAATTAAACATAAAGAGGAGAAAATTCCATAGGAGCTACTTTACATTCCCTCCTTTTCCCCTGGACTCAGTGTATTGCCAACTTGATAGCTGATAATGTGTTTCTCCTAAGGGGCTCTGAAATGGTTATCTCGTACACATACATATGTAGACACAGACATATAAATATCTCAGCTGTTTCATGAGGATCAGAATATCATACATATGAAGCTTATATATAATGCCATATATATTATGCATATCTGAAACATAAAATATTAATTTTGATACATTAAATTTCTCTAACATCTTAACAAACTATTTATCAATAATACAAAACAAAGCATGACTTTGTGGCATCCACAACGGTTTCTGGCATGAAACTAAGAGATGCTCAATGAAAAGAAAAAAACTCTCACCAAGGTCTGACTGAGCAGGAAGTACTGGCAATAAATACATTTGGCAGCCAGCGCAGAAGCAGTGTGGTCGTAGACCAATCACAGCTATACTTTTCTTTACAACAAGTTAGGGTTTGCATTTTAATTATCAGAAGAAATTGAAGCAAAATGATTATGTCACTAAAAGTGCCCTTTGCTTTTCACAAGATGTCGCTATGGGGTTTTATAAAACAGTCAACACTTCACTCTGTTCGATCTGTCAGAAGTTTTTCAGGGCTGGGAGGGACAGTTTTGAGTGCGAGCCCACTCGCAGGGGAGTAATTTGGTGGAGCGTCTCGGCATCAGCGAAGGTGGGCGCCAATGCAAAGCAGGTGCTAATGATGGGAAGAAAGACCCTTCCCCTCCACCAGAAGAGCTCCAGGTTTACCACACGAGGTCTCAATACCAGTGGTTCGGAAACTGTCTAGGTAGCCAAAATCTTCTGGTGTCCGAAACCTTGTTAAATTAACAGTCTTGTGCTGGATCCTATCAGGACAGTGGGAAATCTTTGGACTTACAGTCTGCCCTGCATGTGAGCTTCAGGTCTGTCATTCACCTGGAACAACGGATGAAGTTAGCGGTACAGGCTGAGCCCCAGAGCATGCCTGTATTTCTGGATCTCTATTTTTATAAGTTATTCAATCTCTAAAGATGAGAGAATGGGACTGCAGGGGTGGAAGACAGAAAGCTCATCCAACACAAAGGAGAAAATTACACGAAGCCAAAAGAATATTTTAGACTAACACAATGGGGGAAAGAGGACAATCTAAAGTTGTGCCTCTCAAAGTTATCTCCTAGTAGTAACCTCTTTTGGAATCAGATTAAATTCCAGATGTAACTTCAGTTTCTTGTACAAACCAACTAATTCATTGTTAGGCAGATCCCATTTTCAATGTTACACTCATCTTCAAATAATTTATATAATTACAAATGAATTTTAAAATTTTATTACCTATAGTTTTCCCCTTTTATATATTCTCATCCCTTTCTACTACAAAAAAAAAAAAGACAATGACCATCATCTTCAGAAATTTTCTTCTAATTCTGCTTCTTTTTTCAAGTGACATATAGGAATTGTTGAGGATTCTTTTAGTAAACTTACTTATAACCGAAGATTAAAATAGTATTTGATTTCTGCAGCTAGGCACATGATGCTACGGTTTAGGAATATTGTTTAATCTTAAATGGTTCATATCTGTAAAATGTGGACACAGAATTAATTTTAGAGAATTTTAATACAAATGTTAGAAAAAGTTTAAATGACAATGGAACTATCTTCATTCTTTAAAAGGAACTGCATGAAGATACTGTGAACATACTGTTTCATGATCTCTCCTACACACAGTTTTTTTTTTATATGTTTGTAATACATAATGATTCCATTCATCTTGGAGAACTGGTACATGTTCACATTGCATCTTGGTCATTTTAACTCCCCTGTACTCCCGCTGCCCTCTCCTCCTCCTCCTTCTTCCCAGATTCCTTTCCCATCTCCACAGTTCCAGTTTTCTGATGTGAATAGAAATATAATTCCTAGTTCCTCTGGCTGAAAGGGCTTACAAACAATGGCCATACCAGTAGTGATGCGCACATTTTCATCAGCAGTGAATACTAAATATCATTGCTTATAGTAAAGTCCTTCCTTCTGGTTCTTTGGAGAAATGCTGACTTAGGCATCAAGCAAGGGAAATGAGAGACGAATCAGAAGCATGTCGTTTAGCCAGAAAGCAAAGTGCCAAAGACTTAAAGGACAGCTAAAAAAGAACGCAGAAGAGACTGGCTTGAAGAGGCGCCTACTGGTAACATTTTGTGACAATATGAGAACCCAAAAGAACCTTGCCAATGAAATAAACCATAAATTAAAAATTATAGGAAGGAAGGAAAGAAAGGAAAAGGGGAGGAAAAAAATGATTTGCAGAACAATGTCACCTACTGCATGTAAACAGAATGACTGAATTAGCAAATTACCACTTCACCAGCACCCATGGGACATCCTTTGAGACGTTTGCCTTGCTCTCTCCAAAACTGCAAATGTTATGACGTTAAAGGTGACAACGGAGACAAGTAAATGCAGAGCATAATATTTGTTTTGATGCTGAGTTCTATTAAAAAGGTAAAGAGGAAATTACTGGGGAAACTAGCACAATTTGAAAAAATGGTAGTTTATTTTATAATATTAAAAATAAATATTTCTGTATGTTATAATGTATTTATATAGGAGAATATCTTTTTTCCTAGGAGCTAAGTGCTAAAGTACATAGGGATGAAGTATCTTATTATCTCCAACTTACTTTAAGATATTTCTACAAAAATAAAAAATCTCTGTATGTGAGAGAGAGAGAGAGAGAAAGAGAGAAAGAGAGAAAGAGAGAAAGAGAGAGAGAGAGAGAGAGAGAGAGATTGAGATTATATGATTGTATCACCAGAGAGAAACCAATGTTGTAAAATGGTAACAAGTGGCGACTGAGGAAGAAGTCTGTGGCTGTACCTTTTCAACTTTTCTATGGTTTTAAATACTTTGAAGCAAAAAGAAGTTTGGAAGAATTTAAACTTAAAATAGTGGCTTGGAAAATTAGGTTAAAATTTTATTGATCTTAAAAGAGAATTGAATATTGAATCAATACATGTAGCCATCACACTATAACTCAAAAGAAAGGTACCACACTATCCAATAATTATGTAGTGAAAACAATACCCTACATCTGAAATAGCCATTTTGTGGTGGCTTCCTGAAACTTTCTGGCAACAGCAGGTAAAAGTATTAAAATACCCTTTAAAAAAGTTTTTCATTTTTTTGGAAGATGACTTGTCTGGGTCCTTTTGACACACAAATGAAAACTAAAACCTATGCAACAATCTTAGATAAAACAAAAATCAATATAAAAATAAAAGTTAATAGTGAAGAGGAAGTTATTTAATTCAGCTAAGAATATAAACTGGGTGTCTCTTCAAGCAACCTGGGGCTTTGGATGTACTGGGTAGAAGCCCTTCAGTGAGTGAGTGTGAGCTTTTATAGCACAAATCTCCACATGATGCGACTGAGTCTGAATTCCATGGGAATTGGGAGCAGTGAGGTCACTACTGAAATCATACCTCCCCAGTAGGGGTGAGAGATCCCCAAAGGAGGTGAACCCTGCCCCCTGCACAGGAGCCTGTGCTTTCAGTGTAGGGGAGGTGAGGGACACTGGGGAGACCGTAGTCAACCCCTTCACCAGAAGAATTCAGGAGACAGCATTCTACTGGGGAAAGGAGCAATCAGCTCAAGAGCAACTGTCCATTCGGGCATTTGAGAAACACTCCTCCCCTGGCCACATCGGATAAAGTTCTGTTAGACAACAGAAGCCTGGAGATGGCTTCACTTTGCTATAGTGGTGAGGATATGACTGCAGTGAGCAAACCCGTGTGCAGAGGAAAAGCACCCAGGAGAAGGGTAACACCTAGCATCTGGCAGGAAACAGGTGTCATCCTTAGGATATGAAATGATTGACGAAGGGCTGGTTCCAAAGGAGTGGAGAGGAGTAGAGAAACTGGATGGAGAGCAACAGGGGTTTGCTGAACTGTGGGTCTGGACTGTCTCCTGATGACCCATGCTTGGTCAAAGGCTTGGCTTCCATGCTGTAGAATGATTGGGAAGTGGTGGAGACCTTCTGAGGGGTCCACTGGGGGCTTAGGCCCTTGCTGGGAGTATCATCTGTCCCTCTTTTCTCTTTTGGCCAAAAGGTGAACATTTCTGTACCACCACAAGCTCCCGCCATGAGGGGCTGCTTTGCTACCAGCCCAAAAGCACAGGAGGCAGCCTCCTGCCTCAGATTCCATGGATGCGAATCTCTGCGATTATGGGTCGAAATAAATTTTCTGTTTAGAAGTTGCTTATTCAGAGATTTGTAACAGTAAGGGAAAGCTGAGACATTCAGGGTGATAATAAGGAATAGTTACCACACCTGTACCTGCAAGGACAGCGGAACAGAAGGACCTGGAGGGGGAGGATCTCAAAGGGAAAAATCCAAGGGGGATGGACCCCTGTAACTAAGGGATACAGCCATCCTGTGTGACCCTGCAGGGGTAGAGCCTGCAAGATACAAAGCATAGCCCATCCTCACTCTTCTCTCCTCTTGTTTCCTGCCAGAGCTCCTCACTAGCCAAGCTAACCAGATGCCAGGGGCAAGCAGCCCATTAATGGGCTTCATGTGGGTCAGTCTCCTGAGGCACAGAGCAAGGTGAGCACAAGGGAGTGTGTCTGCAGGGCTCAGCAAGACATCTGACACAGTGGCACGTCAGCCCCAGCACTGGCACTTCAGAGCTGCCCACGACAAATGGCCACGAGGATGCACTTTGGCAAGTGTAAGATTGAGAGAATGTGCTCTAATGAAAGCATTTCCGCTGTTTCCTTATGCATATCATATGCACAGACATACATCTTATTAAATGGTTTCTATATCGAGGTGCTTCATTCCAGGTTTTAGTCACTTATTCAAGAAATATTTACCGGGTTCTTAACATTTTCTAGATGTTTGATCAAAGTATTATTCAAATTAAAAATGAGAAAAGCACCCATCCAGGTGCTAATTTAATAAATTAGCCTAATTAATTAGGCTTAAATTTAGTTATATCTTCATTAATCATTTGAACCTAAGAATGAAAAACACATACAATGACAAAAACCCCAATCTGATCACAAAATTAACAAAGGACTTACATATTTTTCCTAAAGAGATAACTGAATAACCAATTAGAAATTGAAAACATGCTCCATATCACTCACTAATCATTACAGAAAAGTGTATCATGACTATAATGATAGCGCCCCACATCAATTAGCACAGTTACTATCAAAAGACAAGCAAACAATTCACAAACAATAGAAAATTATAAGGGTTGGTGAGGATGTCGAGAAAGTGTGTGCACTTTCCTTGTGCTCTGCTGGTAGAAATGTAAAATGGCAAGCTACTAAGGAAAATAGTATGGCTGGTCCTTAAAAATTAAAAAAAGGACTCTGCATACGATCAAGCCATTCTACTTCAGGGTACATAACCAAACGGACTGAAAACCAGAACATGAAGAAATCTCTGTACAGTGACATTTACAGCAGCAGTGGCTAAAAGGTACACAGGCCCAAATGTCCATCAAGAGGTGAATGGATAGGCAAAATGTGGTAATGTTCTTCAGGCTTAAAGGAAGGAAATTCTAACACACACTGTAGCATGGGTAAACTCTGAAGACAGAACTCCTAGTGAAATAAAAGGACAGGTACTGTATGGTGCTTCTATGAGAGGTACTCAGAGTTGTCAAATTCTGACAGAAAGTACAATAAAACCTGCCAAGGAGCCAAGAAGGAGTTATGAAGAGTCATCATTAACAGGGGCAGAGTTTCAGTTTGGGAAGATGAAAAAAGCCCTATGGATGGATGGTGGTGATGGTTGCAAGACAATGCGGATGTACTCAATGCCACTGAACTGCATGCTTAAAAATGGTTTAAATGGTAAATTTTATATTATGCATATTTTTTACCACAATACACAGAAAGAAACTAAGGAAGAAAGAAATACTCACGGATTCCAGCCCAAATCCTGTGGGTTCACATACAGAATACCAGCTCTGGAGACAGTGGCTGGGGTGGCCGTCCGCAAGTGGTGTATCTCAAACAGAAGCCTCATGGAGGGAGTGAGGGCCACCCGCTCATTGCTGGCCAGAGTCAGCACCTGGAAACAGCAGCACAGCAGTCACCCAGGGCAAACTGGCAAAGGAGCACCGACAGCTTGCCGTAGTAAGCAGAGCACTGTCCCTAGTAGATGGGCCAAAGGCTGCGAATCAGGATCTAAATTTATCCCTGAGGTGGCCTGACTGGCCCCTTAGAAATAAAATTACCAAAATGGACTCATGACAGCCAATCTTTAAATGACTGCAGGAATTACTGCTAAGCTGAATATAAGTGGATTACACGACAAAGCCTAAATAGCAAGGAAAATTCTCTCCAGAATCTCAAACACCACACTTATCAACTGTCCTATAGGAATTCTTACAAGGGTGAAGACCCCAGTCCCGTATTTGATGATGAACATTGTTTTAGCTCAGAAAGCAGTAATTACTGTTAATACACAGTGGTTACTTCTAGCTCAGAATAATGATGGTTACTTATTTTTCTCTCCAGACCCACCAAATAGACCTTCTGTTGTTATATCAGTGTCTTACAGACTTGTACCATTACCTTCTGTTTTAGTTGGGGATGCTGAATTAACCAAGGAAAAAATGCTTGGAAGAGCATTTAAACCCAGTCTGCAACAATAGTGACTAGTTAATTTTAATACCTAAATTTTACCAATTATCATACAGCACAAATTCATTGTTTTACTGTCCAATTATTCATATTTAATCAAAGCACATATAAGACATAATAATTCAGACCTAGCTCTTAGAAAATGGTGTATAAACTAAATTCTCAGATATATATCTATGATTAAAGGCTATTAAATTTATGGAGATAAAGGTAATATATTCCCTCAAATTCTTTAACTGTGAAATTAAGAGAATTGTCAGGAAAATGCCATTTATCAAAATAGTGATAGTATAAGAATATCCAGTTAAGGAGCAAAAATTAGCATTAACATTAATAAATAAGTGAGTGAGATGTTATTTTTAAGGGTTAGCACTGCAGTTTATTGACCTTGTTATCATCCATGACTGTATTTAGCGACTCAATCCACATGGGGTCAACATCTCCATCCAACACTATCCATTTTGGCCCAGCATGTGTAAGATTTGCTTGTTCTCTTAGAATGGAAGAGAAGAGACCTACAAAATAAGAGTAAACAATATTAGTATATCATGGATTTGGGTGCAGTTTATTTCTAAAAGAAATTTATAGTATTTCTCCTCAAAGGTCTTTTATTGACTAAAAAACATTTTGCTGTCTCTTTCTTGTAGGCAGTGTATCTCACACTCTACATGACATACAGGCTCCAGATCTGGTTTTACTACTCACCAACAGGCAAGTTTCACCTCCAGGGAAGGATTATTCCCTTCCCTGACTGACTCTCCCCATAGGTCAAACATGGATACTACTACCTTCCTTAAAGAACAGTTGTGGGATTTATAGGCAACATATGTAGAACTCGCAACTCCCACCAAATGAAGACGTTACCCTTTCCCACGTTCTGAAATTAGTGTCTTAGAAGTACTCGTTTATCTCATCTAGTTCCATTTTTGTGTAACAATATTCCAGAGTCATAATTCTAAGGTAAAGTTATTTGGAATTACACATCTCTTTGGTAATTCTGGATGCTGGCATTATATTGTCATTACTTAGCAGATGTACAGATAAAGACATTTTAAACCCATGGCCTTTCTGCCACTGCTACATGTCTAAATACTGGATAATTTAAGAATTGCTGACTTTTCACATTCAATTATATAACACGATGGTGAATGAAACTGCTTTGGTCCCTTTGTATGGAGGTTTCCTCTACGAAATGTTTTGTGTAAAAAATAAATGACAGCATCTAGTCGAACCTGCCACTATGGTTTAATTAATAGGAAAGCCAGCAATCTTTTCTAATAGCTGTGGATTCCAACCTATTTCATAGCTTCTCAGTATGTGCAGATGAACAATTTTGTACTGGTCATTGTCCTTTATAAAAAGAAAGAGATTAGACTGAGCAAAAATGTCCTGCAGATAAAGGAGAGTGTATATAAGGTAAGAGGAGGGAGAATGACAAAGTGTGTCCTGCTTCACATCAGGTCATCAGGGAAGTCTTCTCGGATGTGACCAGACACTTAAATAAGCTAAAGGAGCAAGACATACAGACATGCACAGGAAGAACGACACTTTGGGCAGAGAGTCAGATACCAAGGTCCCATTATGCAAAGGGGCTTGGAACAGTCTCAGGAGGTCAGAATGAGCAAACTGTAAAGAAGGGCAGAGTATGGAAAATGAATTCAGAGCCGGTGAGGTGGCCTCTAATCACTAGGGTCTTCTAGGCCATGGAAAAAGGTTGAGTTCCAAGGGAGACAGGTAGCCAGTGGAAACCAAAAGATGAGAGAGAAAATCCTGAGGAGCCTCTGACTTCTGTGGAAAATGAGCCACAGGAAGAGCAGTGGGCAGTGGCCTGGACTAGTGTACCCTCTATGGAGAAGGCGAAAGTAATGGGATTCGACACATATGGTGTTTTTATGTTCAAGCCATGGGACCTGTTGAGAAACTGAACGCAGGGAATCAGAGGAAGTGGTTCCTCAGGACCAATACAAGGTTCGAGCACTCACTGACATAGGAAGTCATGAGGGCCCCATCTGCAAATACAGGGAGGCTATCCCTTAACAGACATGCTCGGGCCCGAAATGCTTTGGATTTCAGATTTTTCTGGATTCTAAATCATTTACATAGACTTTACCAGTTAAGTAGCCTTAATCCAAAAAAATGTGAAATACTTTGAAATCATAAACTTATATTTTAATGGTCTCAGGTTTTAGAACATCTCAGACTTGGTATTTTTGGAATAGGGACAATCAACTTGTGCTGTCAGGGCAGCAAACATGCCCACCTGACTTCTGTCACTGGTCCTTAGGATAACCTCGTCCAAACCTCAGACAGGATCCTACATCAGGTACTTTATCAATATGAACTGGGGCATCCACGTTAAGGTTTCTTCTGGATTAAAAGAGCCCTGACAGAGCCAATATAGGATAAAATACAGCTCGGAGCACAGGTTGCTGAATGCATACCAAGTACTTATTTGAATCCAGCTTTCATTTTTACATTGTAAATGCTGCTGTGATCTGTTGTATTTGCAATAATGCCAATGAATAAGCAGTAAAATCTGTGACTATGACTAAAATTAGTTTGTACTGAAAAGGGCTTTCTGGATAGAAAAAAGAAATTTTTAGCCACTGAAAGGGGAAATATTACTTGCCATCTTTCCATTCTCGGGTAGCATGATGTATGAAACCAAAGAGTTCATCTGTTGTCACAGCTTTAGGGTTCAAGTCGTTCCAGACGGGCTTCTGTTTCATGTGAACATATGTTCGGTTCAGTGTTCTCAAAATCTGAGGAGGGAAAATAAGCAAGCCAAGAAAACGAATACCAATGTAAGCCAAATGGAAAATAAAAGGTTTTCAGAGGATTTTCCTTACTCAGTATACGTTACTGAATATTCTGTAGAATATCTAGACAAAGAATGGCTCAAAATGGACACACAGTATGTGCCTCTTCCTTATCATCTTGAAAAGTCCAATCTCATAAATTCTTGGGTTCAGTTCACACAACTCTTTAAACCATTTGGACCAGAGACAGTCACTTTATCACTTGTGATTTTAACCATGTGTACAAGGTGGAGGAGAAGCAATCACATTCATGTTCATAAACCCAAATTGCCTGAACTATTTAGATCAGCTATTCTGCAAAGTTGGCCCATACCAGAATTTCCTGGACGGCCACAGCTGGGTCCACCCCCAGGGTTTCCAGGTCCATAGGTCTGGCGGGAGACACACTGTCTGCATTTCCAGCAAGGGCCCAGGTGATGCCCTGATGCAGGTGTAGATATGTTTTGGGGTCCAGTGACCTAGGGCAGTAACTCTCAACAGGAGACTGTCCTGACATAGAAGAAGAGTGGCTACATTCCTGGGCTTTTGGTGAGCAGACACCAAAGATGCTAAGCATCCAACAATGCCCCAGACAGCTTCCTACAACAAAGGATTCTCCAGTCCAGGAAGTCACTAGTGCTGAGGCTCAGAAAGCCTGCACTAGAAAATGATAAAAACAAGCCTTGAGGGGAACTCACAGGATAGCTGCTCAGGATATGTCTAATTAATTGACACCCTAACCTAAATACCTGTCCCATCGTCTCTCTTGCTTTCTATGAAAAGCTATAGTTTTGTTTTAAATATTTATCATCCTGACCCACGCCTGGGAGTGTTGAAATACTGATAAACAATTGCCAAGTCCTCTGTAATGGTAAGGTGCTGAACAACGTAGCCCCAAGCTTCAGAGGTCTGGCTGTATCAGCTTAAGTGCATATTGAACAGAAAACAATAGGTGAAGACTAGATGAAAGAAATTAAATGCCTTAGGAATATTAAGCTCATATTTTTAGAAACCATTAATCTACTGGAAATTACAGAATTTAATTTTATCCTTCCATGAACTATGGCCTACATCTGAAATACATTCTAATAAAATAATTATAGGTCTATCAGATGTCTACTTTAATATTTCAATTGTTACCTTTTTTCACTAAAAAAAATTTCTCTACAGAGCATCCCTCTGCAATGGTTCCACTTTGGATTCGGATCTAAGTACTGGCTAGTTCTATATACACCCATGCTCTAAAACTCATATGCCCATTCTGATTATTTTTAGTTGTTGGCTACCAAATATGTTTACATCGAGGCATCCTGAATTAAAATGCATGTAGTTCTGTGTATTCCATCTGCCAACCAAGAAAATAAGTACTTTGCCAGGACCATCAGTAGAGCCAAACAAAATCAACAGTGAACTAAAAATGGGGGACGATATCACCCATTGCTTATCACTGTTGTGCAGAGCAAGTCATGCATAATGCACCTAGCACAGCACATAATAGGGACTTCAAAAATGTGAGGTTCTGCCCTACAGTGAGGTGTATTTCTGAGAAAGAGCTGAAGGAAAATATTTGGGTTTGTTTTTCTTAATGATACAGGAAAGAGAAACTAGGATCATCTGAAAAAGACCAGAAAGTAATTCTGAAAAATGTAAGTAGACCCACTCAAATCCTGCAAGTCTCCGACAGTTTTTGCCCTTGATACAAGAATCCAGGGCTGAGTATTACCGCCAGGTGCATAGGGTACAGTTGAAAATGCAAGCATAGGATGCTATGAATCTTGTGGGGGAAGCCTGATCTTCTATTCAACTTACTTTTCTTAGGCAAATGCAGTGATCTATTTGTTTTTCTCCCTTCTCTCTCGCAATATAAAGGAAAACTGTGTGAACAGATCGAAGAGCAACATTAGAGTCTAAGATTCTAACCCAGCATTGAGTTGGGTTTTGCTGAAGGGAACCCTTTTAAGCACTGAAAACAGCCCCTGGCTGAGAGCTGTGAGGTGGGTCATCCTACCTTACTCTTCCCTGTGCCTGCGTTTCCAACCACAAAGACAGAGTGTCGTACGGCCAGCAGCTCCTCGAGCTGGACAACCTGCAACCAGACAGCCAACAGTCACTGCTGTCCTCTCAGGAGTTGGCGACAGAAAGGCAACCTACCCACTGTTGCTCATTTCTTTCCTCACAGCCCAGGCAAGCTGCTGACAACAGTGTGTTTGTTCAAGGGAAGTTAAAACAGACCACAGGTCCAGACACAGGAGCACAGTTTCTCCTGGATCTCCCAAGTAGAACATAACAGTGAGAATAAAGTACAAGCACTGCTTTCTGGGTAAATGGTACACGGCAGACATAACTTTAAAAAAATCAATGATGCCTCATAAAGGTTTGTACAAAAATAGTATGTAGTCAATCATCAACTACAACTGAGTAATGATTTTTCCCATAAAATACCTAATGTGGATTTTATATATGTATTGCAATGTCCAGGTAATGAGATATACAAATCTCCCTGTGTTCACTAAATTCAAACTGAACAAGCCCATGCACAGCCTTTGATAAGTCAGTATCTTTCCAAGCTATTTCAAGCATGCTGACATTCCTCTTGTTAAAAGCACACACTGATGCTTTTACTTTCAATTTTCTCCAAAATGAAAGGGAGGGAGAACAAAAGAAAAATTTGGGGCACATCTCCAGGAAGTTTTATAAAGTAATTAAAAGTATGCTTACAGTTAAAACTATTACTTACATCATATTTATGTTTTTACCTTCTGGCTGGCTGGGACTACTAAAATATTTATTTGTAGTTACTTTAGTTGAAACTGTCATATTAAAAGGCTCAAAAGTATTTCTTAATATCACATTAAGGCCAGGGTAACATAAGTCAATGTTTTAGCTAAGTACTATATCACTTAAGCCATCATTTGCACTGCAAACCCCAAGGACTTCCATGAAAAGCAAGGTCCTCTTTTACTTTGAGAATGAAGCTGTCCTCAGGCTGCAGGCGGAGCTCCAGGGTGGACTGCCTGACCATCTGTTCAAAGTGTGTGTCCCTCCTCCGGGGTACGTCCAAGGCTGGAAACAGGTCGCCAACCAGGCCCAGAAACACTGGGACATCATCGGTCACTATTTTCGGCATATTGAAGTCCCTTAGTGCTCGCATGAGCACCTAGAAAGGAGAATAGAAAATATTGCATCAAAAAGCCAAAAGAGGGCTGGGGATTTAGCTCAGTAGTTCCACTGCCTGCCTTGCAAGCACAAGGACCCCAGTTTGAAAAAACCCCAGTACCAAAAAAAGAAAAATCCCTAAGAAAGGATTTGGAGTTTTTACTAGAAAGAAATGATAAGATATATTTAATCTGATTTAAATATTATACAATGTATATGTGTATCAAAGCATTAACTATTACCCTACTAGGACATATTCTTTTTATTTTTATTTATTTATTTTTGGTACCAGGGATTGAACTCAGGTCTATGCACTTTCAAGGCAGGCAGCAGAAAGACTGAGCCAAATACCTGGCCCTCATATTCTTTTTATATTTTATGTACCAATTTCAAATATTATTTATTTATGCAGCACTGTGGATTAAACCAAGGACCTACATACTGAACTGCATCTCTACACACCCAGCCCTTTTTTATTTTTTTCTTTGATTTTTGAGACAGAGTCTTGCTAAGTGGCTAAGCAACCCAGGCTGGGCTTGAACTTGCAATCCTCCTGCCTCAGCTGCCCAGAGTGCTGGGATCATAGCTGTGCACCACCACTGCCAACCTCAAGTGTTTTTGTTTTTTTGGTACCAGGAATCAATTCAGAGCCTCAGGCTTGCTAAGCAGTCACTGCCCTGCTGAGCTATATCCCCGTCCTCCAGCTCTAATTTTTAAAGTCAATATGAGGTCTAACAAACACCTCATGAGCTGAAGACACTATTTTTAATCCTCAGACTAAAGTATGAGATACTGATACTGTCTTCCAGCTGGCATGGCCTTCAATCTATTGGGAAAGGAGATGCTTTCCAATTAACAACAGAATAGAAGGCTCAAAGAATAAAATCAACAATCCTCAGAACTGGGTCAGCAAGGAGGCTGCTCCTTCCTTGCCAATGCTCTGTCCATCTTTAGAAAGAGTCTGGGGGACTTCTCTCCTGAGTCCTCAGACTTCAGTCCGCAAGTTACCATGCCTATCAGATCCCCTGACTCTGAAAGGACAGGATGATGATCTCAAATATTTTTAGCTAGGTTTTTTTTGTTTGATGTTGACTAAAAACCAAAGGGGGCTTTAGATTTTTTGAACATCAGGATAACATTTATAGAAACAGCTAAGCATTCCATCAACAGAAACCGTACAGCAAGAGATCAAAGAAATGCAAGAGCATGTTGACTAACATGAATTGCAGCACAGAGGAGGAGATACATCAGCCAATAAAAGAGACCACATAATACATTATCCCTTAACATAAAAAAAGGAGCTTACAGAAGGGACCTAGGTTTTCTCTCCGCGGCCATACTGCACAGATTCGTAGTGAGGAGCACCTCTTGCTCTGTTTGTCAAACAGAGGAAGACACCCAAGTGCTGTCGCCATTTCTCGCAGGAAGGAAGGCAGGAGTTTCCCTAGCACTACTCCTGACACTGCTGTTAGGCAGCCACCCTTCCGGCTTCATTCTTTGTGCCCATATTACATCCTGAGAAATGGACAGACCTTCTCTGATTCAACTGCATCTTCACTGGTATGCAAAACTAATCACCTGATTTAATCAACCAGATTGCCTGAATGTTCCTCAAAGGAATTCAAACCATGGTTACTGAATTATTTGATTTTAACCGTCAAAAGACTTTTTATGGCTGATATTTCAAAAGCGCTTATGGAATCACATTTCTTTCTCAGATTCATAGTTCTGTATTCAAGAACACTTGTGCCCTCTCATCAGAAATGCCAGTCCTTAAAATATCCTGCATTCAGAAAAGATGCCATAGGGCCGGGGATTTAGCTCAGTGGTGCTGCTGCCTGCCTCGCAAATGCAAGGTCCCAAATTTGATCCCCGGTACCACGAAAAAGAAAAAGAGAAAAAGATGCCAGTGCCCCGTTGGCTCACTGTCCAGGTTTATGGCTCCATTTGTATGAAATTGTTCCGCTACTCACTCAACAAAATCCCATCAGGGTTGTGGTACCTGATCTTCCGGTCGATTTTTATCTCCTCGTTTCAGGGAGCCAGCGACAACCAAGACCGATTTAACAGCACGAAGCCCCCAATCATAGTGATCCTAAAATAAAAACATAGTTTTTTTTTCTCAAAAATTGTATGAGGGGATAAGATTCTCATTTCAGAAATAAGAACTGCAAGTTAGAAAGTTCAGAAAAACACAAACTTTAATAATTCCAAAAAATACGCCCTTTCCTCTCCGAAACTGAAAATCATGTTCCTGAGGCGGCTGTCCTGCTTCTTCCTGCCCTGGTCAGCAAATCTTCCTTTCCCACAGCATGGCAGTGCAGCTTCTGCTCAGGACTCCATCTGCCTCCCTCGCTCCTCTCCACAAACTTCTAACTCACAACCTCTGACCACAAGCACACTTCTAAACGGTGCACGGAGGGTGCTGGCTTCTCACTACCTAGTCATCACTAAGACACCCTTTCCCCGATATCGGCCCCAAATGCACTAAGAACTATATTGTTAAAATGCAACTGTAAACCAAGGCCCCTCTGAGCCTTCCACATTGTCCCCAAGGAAGGTTCTTCCCACAGGCTCGGAGCTCTTGGAGGATAAACAGTAACTTATTCCCTTTGGTTTTCCAGGTCGAAGCAGTGCCTGGCACAGAGTAACTGTTCAGTAAAAGCAGGCTGTGCCAAAGGTGACTGATCCCATGTCCATGGCTTTCTTTCCTTGGCCCATACAATCCACAAAGCAACAAGAAACCCTTCCCTTGAAGGGCTCTCAGCTGGGCCTGTGACCTTTTTACCCAACCTCTGCAACCCTCAGAGTCACTAACCTGTTAGGACAGAGAGGGGGTTGTGGGACTAAAATGAGTTAACTCGGGCACTGAATATGTATTTTATCCAGTAGTGGGTAATAAAAACAATTGAGTGGGATTTCGCCATCATTTTTTTTTTTTTTTTTTTTTTTTTTT